AGACGAAGAAGATAGACAAATTTTCTGGCGAATTCCTGATCTCCTCTTCGCTTGGGAGAAGATAAATCGTATCACGTACCGGTTGCAGATAAACGATACCTCGTTGATGCTTCAGCTGTATGGCTCGGCAAATGCGATAAAGTCGAGCAGTTGTCTGACCCATCTTCGGGACATTCGGAGATATGTATACATAAATTGCACAGCCATTTCACTATTACCTACACTTCTTTCACATCCAACCTAACCTTTCCCGCGCCGCTAATCGCGCTATTAATACACGCTACCAGCGTGACGGATTTTTATTACATCCTAAGAGCGAACTACTACACGTCTATGATATAGTCTTTGGCTACAGTTAAAAATAGTTTCTCAATTTTTTTGCCTCGTTCAGGAATTAATCCTTTCCGGATTAATTCGAAACGATATATTAATGATTTTTATCTCTGCGTAATGGCGCTAATTAACAACAATCACTTACAAGAGCTACTTTGTATTAACTGCGGCAACTTCTTCACGTTTTTATTTCTGCATAATTATCCTTAAATGCAACGCGATAACCATTGATCACTGGCTATCCGGCTATCATCCAAGATGCATTAAGGATTTTATTCTTGCGTTTCTTCAGCATGTACGTTGCGCTTTGTCAGGAGATAACGGCCGAGTATCTCCGCACGCGGGAAGGGAAATGGCGAAGTGGGATTGGAAAAGGACGAAAACGTGTTAGCCGGTGGTAGAAAACGAAGAAGAGGAATCGTCCAGGATAATGAGAAAAAAATCACAACGAAATCGGGTAGGTGGAGGAAATGGATGAGGTAGACGATGAAGGGGGAAGAGGTGGAGAGGCCTTCATCCATGCACCGTTGCGCTCGACTGTCCGACTGTCCGTCCCGTACGTCCTGGACGGATCCATCGGTCCCTGAGACCAAAGGGATGGACGGATCGCAGATTACGTGCATTTCAGATTCACTCGTGTGCAGTGCGCAGCGACTCGTATTTCCCGGCGCAGTAATAAATTACGATCGCAATCGTCGTATACGCGCACGCATTGTCGGTCACGCTGGACGACGGTTGCGAGCAGCCGTCTTTAAAGCCTTTCTCTGTCGCTGCCGATGAGGAAGCCTCCATTCATTCTTCCTGGCCCAGTCGCACGGACTCTTCTTCGCGTCGTCATAAATTAATGGCGATCAATTAATTACATCTGACGCGACTACCTTTGCGGATCCTCCTCGATTGGGACAATCTTGATTGAGTGAAGGATTTGACATTGCATCCTAATTTTATTTTCTGATTTATGTATAAATAATCGATTTAATTTAATATCTGTTTTTCTTAATCAAACGCGTACTCTCTTTCATTTTTAATCGACGACCCATTAAAAGTACTTCGAGTAATGTTCGGGGTCTTTGGGATTCGAAGTACACGATACGCATATAACATTGCCGGTTCGTTCATTGGGTTCTGGACCATCGTTTCGTCCTTCTCTGCAGCGATGCTCAAAGATTCGCACACAGCCCCCCCGCCGACGATGTCTGGAGGCCTTGACTGGGCCCCACGGACCCAACTCCCAAGCCTGGCGTACCCAGCGGGCCCTCCTCTCGTCCTCTCGCTGCCGATCTTCACACACGATCACACTCGACCAAGCGAATTCATGTACGCAACCCTTATATCTACACACCGTGCGTGTATCCTTCGCCGCCGGCACGTCCAACCACCTTCGGAACGTCTGAATCCGAATGCATGTAAGTGCATCACTCGTCAGTGCAACAGGTACAGCGCGTACAATGATATTTGTCAAACGCGGTTATAGGGCATCTCATGTGTGTTGTGCACATGTGTACGTGTATTGGCAAATAACAAATTGTCGCCTCCACGGGGGGTCGTTCCGTGATTATGACTCGCGATTAAAAATCTTTTTCGAAAATGCTGTTTCTCGCAAGCAGATATTGACTTACGATTATTACACGAAGCTATTTTAAACAGCAATAATTTTGTATTACTATAAATTATTATACGTAATGTAAATTTATAAATTATTACATAATTATTCTTGAGTTAAAATCACATCTAAAAATAGCGTGTGAAATAGTATTAAATGTAGCAGTAGAAATTAATACTCTGTACTATTAGTTACAAAATTTGCTAGAAGAGAAGTTGACAGTAATGTTTCCTGTATTTTTCTATTAATTTACACGGTGACGAATTCCTACAGCTTTCCCGGTTGATGAGGTACCTAGATCGAGTCTGGATCCGTTGTGTCGAGAGATTTACAATTCATCAAAGTAAGAAGGGCACGAGGATAGATCGATCGTATGCTGAAGGAACGCGCAGTGAGAGGCCTCCAGTCGGACGTAAATTTATCACGACGTTATCTCGTTGTGAAGCCATGTTCGTTAATTTTATCCTCCGATCTCTCTCTCTCTCTCTCTCTCTCTCTCTCTCTCTCTCTCTCTCTCTCTTTCTCTCTCTTTTTCGAGTCCGTCTTTCTCCTTCTTCACCCTCCCTCGTCCTTCCTCAACACTCCTTCTGTTCACCCTTGTCCAACCCTCTTGCCGAAATTCAGGTAAAACGACTTGGAAATCTGAAGTCGATAAAAATGTGATTCACATATCGATAGATTAGATGAAACTTTACTTTGGAAAAGATTTAAAAACTTGCAGGGGTACATATCGCTGATATTCTCGTTTTAATCTTCCTTCTTGGGTGAAACGAGAGACAAGGCACGAATTAAATTCGAAAGGAAGGATACTTGCAAAGGAGATCTTCATCGCTTTGCAATCCGGACAATCGGTAAGCCCTAAAGTAAGTAGAATCAATTCGTCTTGCGGCGTAGAAAAAAAGACTGGGAAGAAAATGTTGTTATGAAGTCGAAGTCGAAGTACAAGAAGCCGGTGTCGAGTAAATTCCGCATTTTCAGCCTCCGTATTATGCTTTGCTCTCCGGAGGAATTCCGCGCACGACGATACAGTGAGGCCGGGCGTTGTCAGGCGTAATGGATATAAATTTAATTAAGATTAGGATTTCGGGGAAGCAGAGGATCTGAGGCCGAAGCAGGTTTTGGAGTCTGGAACTCCGTCGTTCGATTCTTCGCCGACTTTCTAGTATCTGATCGTCAATTAAAACATCTCTTGCTGTTCAGAAATTTTAATTGTCAAGTTAATTATTACTTTGCGCTACGTAATAACATATATAAGTATTATACGTTTTTTTATCGATCAGTTTTATTACTTAAGAGCGACCCTATAATTTCTTTTCGTCGCGAGTCCGTCTTCCGTCATACGCAGTTTTTACACAAGAGAATGTTAAAGAAACCCGATCTGGACGTAAACGTCTTCATTGGCTAAGACGTCTCGTTAATTAACGTTTCTCATTAAATACAGATCGGTTATCGGTCGAGCGGGCTTCCCCTTCGAAAGCAATTCCGTCAATCAAGCGGAGAAATGTGGGGGTGGTAGGTGGGAGACTAGCGACATAGTCTCCTTTTCTTTCTCTCTCTCTCTCTCTCTCTCTCTCTCTCTCTCTCTCTCTCTCTCTCTCTCTCCTTCTCTAAAGTTCCTTTCTCTTCTAAAACCTCTCACAGGTCCTTCAAGATGCTGCCTCGATCTCCCTTTCTGTTGCAACCGCCTTCTTAATCTTCCTTTAATTCCCTGGCTTTTGCGTTTCTTTAGTTCCTTTTTCCACCTTTCGTTTCCTTCGTTTCATCTCTTCGTCGCGTCTCTCCTCTTCCTTTTCTCCGTCTTCCTCTTTCTCTCCTCCCCTTTGTTGTTGTCCCCTTTTTGTACCATCTTCAGCGGTCTTTCGTCGGATCCTTTCGTTGGAGAGAGATACGCGCCGACAGGTTTCGAACTGTCTCGTATCCTTCGTAAGGGGCTGCTTCGGCGCGAAATCGAGCCGAGGAGTCAGTTTCTTCGTCGTGTGCTTTTCCTCACGCTTGAACATTTCATGAGTTGTCGGCAAAGGTTAGAGAAACTGAGACTCCGTTATTTTCACTCAATGTTTAATTTTACTTAATCATTTAATAAAATCATTCATTTAAAGTTTCAGAACATTTTTTGTATATCTAAGCAAGTCTATTATTATATTATATCTTTAATAAAAAATATGTCCTTGCGGTCAAGAATTTCTTTAAACCTTTTTAAATCGTCGCTAATTCCGAAAGATCCTGGAATACCTACAGTTTTTTTTGTACTTTTATCTCACTGTCTATTTCTGTAACGACCCTGGAAGCTACGCTTTCATTCTATTATTGAAGTGACTCACAGAGAGAACTGAATGTTTCATGAAGATAAATGCATCGAGCAAGAAGCCGCGTTGATTGCGCGCGATCGTACGCACCGATCGTATACGTAATCGATAGACGAGATAAGAAGAAAACGAGTTTTTCTCACACAACTGAACGACGGTGAGTCCGTCTACTTAGACCGATCGCTTTATTAATCCTTGCCCGCGTTCTCATGCAAATCTCTTTTTATCTCGCGATGACCGCATTAATTTCATCGCTTCGCAGTCGTGTGAAAATAATTTGCTGCTTGTGAGATGTGAATAATCACAGAGAGAAAAATTGCTTTATAGAGATTTTTAAACGTAATTCGTTCATTCTTAAATTAATTACCGAAACGATTATTGTCTTCATCTGTAAATCAATTATCGAGAGAGAAATCGCTTTAAAAAAACTAATACTGAATAACGCTAATGTTGGTAAATGAATGATGTTAATATCACGAATCTGTTTTCTTATCTAATATTAAGATGATATAGATTATATAAGAAATCGTTGCAAAGGTTCGATAATAAAAGTAGAAATAATATAGATAGAGACATATAGTTCGAATTGGACAGCGGATCGAAGTTATGCAGCCTCGATACTTTTTTGTACGGGAACCATCCTGGACACCTTTTTAGACATCGAGATTTATCGATCAGATCGCGCACGACTGCCTTCCTAAAAATCAATGACTATCGAGGATAAATATCGGACAGAATCTGATAGGAAACCGACTTACTAATACATAGGTCAGGTTAGTCGCATCATCTATCCAGATGAGTAGGATGTCAGCGCCTTCCATGTTAATCTTCTCATTGAAACCAATGCCGATGTAACCCCTGGTTTCGCCGGTGACTCTAAAGATTATCTTCTCCTTATCCGAAGGATCCCATTCGAGGATTACGGTACCATTTTCATCCATCTTCTCGTATCTAGTGAAATTCCATCTTCCTTCGTTAGATAAGTCATTTGCATTTCTCCTGAACCTCACTGCTGCCTCGTCCTTGACGTAGTTCTTCGCCTTTTGTGCTTCCTTCGCTGACTTCTCCGGAAAATACTTCTTTGGTATCCGACTATCCCATGGCTTTCTCTTAAAACTGGGCCGAAAAGGATTCGGATTAATCTGCTCGTTTTCGCTGATTATCTCGAACTGCGAGTTATCTTCGCTCTCCATTTCTTCTGGAAATTCTTCGAATTCCAGAGCCTTGATGGTCAACTCTTCGTTGCTCTGATTCTCCTCGATTATCAGTCCAACTTCCGATGTTTCCTCTCGTTCCTCAGTTATTGGAACCTGCGAGACATTCAACTGCGAATTTTCAGCAGCGTCTTCGGGAACTGTCGACGTCCCTTCGGAGTATGTTGAATTCAGTGCTGGGAATATCTCGTGCTGATCAGAATTCACGTTTCCTTCCAGTTTGTTTGGAAAATCCAAAATGTCGTTTTTATAAGGAACGATCTTATTCTTAGCTTTCCACTGCTTTACCCAATTTTCGTCGACATTCAATCGCTGCTTTTTGAAGTAATTAAACCTGAACACCGGTTTGTCCTCCTCGAGACTCCTCTTTATTCTCCTAGAAACAGGATCCATCGGATGTCGTTTATTTCTGTATAACGTCGTTCTCATGGTCTCGTCCATGTGCTGAACATAAAGATCTAACAGATCACACTTAACGATCCAGCACACGACCAGCGTCACAATCAGCCTGAGAAGCAACATCTTCATCTACTTCCTTTCTACCTTCTTGATCCTTCATACGATCAAGCGAATTCTGCTGTCTGCTACACCATCAATACCAGAGACATGAATTTGTTTCTTTTTATCAATTTATCTTATCAAATATAATTGGATATACAGTCTAAGTTCTAATCTATCATTATTATTCTTTTCTAACTACACTGCACTAATTGAATATAATTCTCCTTTAATCTCCTTTAATCTCCTTTAAACTCTCAATTATTAATTCCAGGTACTGTTTGCAAATTTAAAAAAGAATTATTATCGAGAAGAATAATTTCTTATCACGGATGTCTTTTATTAATCCAATATTACTTGAGATAATTTCGAGAGTAATATGAAAGTGGATCTGCGTGTGCAATAAAAATACATATAATTCGAGGCGAATTAAGAGTTAGTTTCTTTCACAATATTTCGTTAATCCAATTTTCGACACACCGGACTTGAGAACGATCTTCCATGCATGCTGCGCGCACGACAGTTGTGCCGGGACTAATTTAAACACGCGGCTGCCGCGCTGCCCCTGCAGATGCTTGCAGCTGCTTACCTGCGGTCCCCTTCCTTCGGGGCCCCAATACAGGGACGTATTGACTATTCCGGGATGTATTGACTGGCCCAGCAATCATTATAATTCAAATTAATGATAATAAAAACACCGGATATGTTAGAATCGATTAAAATATAATAATTTTCATTGTTGTAATTTCTTAATTTTTCAACATAAAAATTATATTATATTTCACATATCTTAGACTCTTGTATTTATATATTGTATTTATTATTTATCATTATAAAGTCTGCTACATCATCAAATGCTTCCACTTGCAATATTACCGTCACAAAATATTACCGTTATTTTTTTTGTTATTATTAATAATGTTGTCGTTTGATCTTCAGTATCGGATTCAAATGAGTTGACGATGCAATTACAATTTTTAATCTTCATTTTTATACAAGATTTATAAAAAAATTATTAAACATTAATCGATATGCGTATGATTTATCCTTATCTTATATATAATTGTATGGATTAAATTTTATTTTTATTTGTAAAACATTGTGAAATTTTTATAAAATTATCTAATTTTATAACAATCAGATTAGAATATAATTTTTAATAGATAAAATTAGCTTGGCTCATTAACTTTCATTATTAAAATGATTGTTTACTTAGGTCCTAGTATTTCAAAAAAAGAAATGGGCAGGGCACGACTCAATCATGTGTATCAAGTGTTAATTTAATATCTTAAGATAATGGAAACAAATGGCAGGGAAATGTAAACTATGGCTTTGTTCCGGAACAAATTATTTAGCTAAATAACTCATCGCACTTTTTCTTTCGATTTCTCATTTGCTGCTAATATCTCATTTGTCGCATGAATTTTTGCAACGTTTTTCAAGGATCAATTCGTGTTTTTGCAACTTAGTTATATGTGTAACTAATAAGTAATCGCAGCGTTCACTTAGTCGCAACTCGCGTAATTTGCCGAGAATACATACTTCGGTTGTAACACATGGATTCTAGGAGAGTAAATTGTTGGTAATACGAAATCATAATGATCGCGATATGAAGTAAAAGAAAAAACCATCTTCCACGTCTCGCTTGCTCTGATCCTTCGAGCGCAATAATTGCATATGACTCGCATATACGATTATCCATCGCTGCGCGTTCACGTTAGATGAGGGGCGAAAGAGGGATTCTTGTAGTGCTTCCTGCGGAAACGTCCCTCCCTTTTTTTTTTCTTTTTTTCTGTAACTAGAGACTCACACACGTGAGACGATGCTGACGATGGTGGCGGTCTTCCCTTTCTAAAAAGGGACGTAGGGATGCAAAACCAACTGCGGCAGATGTGAACCCTTGGCACGCGCCCTTCTGCTTCCTAGTGGTTCTCATGCTGACCCTCAACCTTCCGCTGGAGCACTCAGCAAACGAGAATGGATTGAAATGAATTGAGATGGTTTCAGATTTTCAGAAATATTGATTCACGAATGTTAAAATGAATGCTTTTCAATTCTGAATGCATTTTTTATTCATTTATAGGAATTGCATGGAGCATATCTCTATGCCTTTCAATCTAAAACAATATTAGCTTTTTTTGTGCACACAAACACCATTATGAATACTGTTCAATTCAAAATTTTGAATACGAAATGTAGTTTTTCAATCCAATTGCATCCAATTGAATCTAATTGAATCCAATTGAATCCAATTAAATCCAAAAAAAGTATTCGCTATTTAAAGTACGCATTCGGATAGAAAAAAATTTCAATCCGTTTTAATCCATTCTCGTTTGCTGGACAGTGATGCCTCGCTTATTTCGATATAAATCGTTATTTTTTTTAATTGATTAACAAATCAATATGTATTTAAATATATTTTTAAATTATAATAAATTATTGTTGAATTCAATCGCTCGTGAAATGTGTTGCATTCATTCGTCAAGGTACATTTTATAAAATCAATATACTTGGCTCGTATCAATATCGTCGATATCGTTGAAGCCGATCTTAACGCTTAATCGTGCGAATCCTATCCGGTCGGCGACCAATATATTCCGCTTAAACATCATCCGCACGTGTTCAGAAGCCAACTATATCGAGTTACTTCCTGTGGCTGACATTGAAACGTTATACTTTATGTGTGAGAGTGATGGTTACCGATCTTTATTTTTTTATGGGATTGGATATCGATCGATACAAAAATGACTGAATCGAGGAATGACACGCGAAACTTGCTTGAATTAATAGATTAATAAAACTTTAAAAAATTCAATTAGATGCTTTTGTGTACATTAAAGTTATACGTATCAAAGCGATGTAAAGATGTGTGTTTAATATAAATATAAAACGAATTAAATCGATTAAGAATTTTTAATACTTTAATATGCTATTCAGTAAAATACATATTTTTTAATACTATTGTGTTTCACTTTTATACTCACAAGGAGAGGACACAGTGGATTCACAATAGTGTCACTTATACTTTGGGAATCATTTTAGATTTTCTGATGAAGATAATGCAGAGATTTATATAATGAATTTGTCTAGAAATACTTATATCTGTCGCGCGATTATATAAATGGAATTAAGGAAACTTTGTTTCGAATATAATACAAAAGAGATATACAATGTTTGAATTTGTTGACGTCAGAAAAAGCGAGTATTGTGATTTTCGACAATAAGGATTTTAATCGTCTTGAATTGATCGAAAGCACAGCTCCCTGCAAACATATAGATAAGAGAATGGATCAAACGCTGGAAATTTATTAAGCCATTGCCAGATTTTTATTTACAATTATTTAAAGTTTCTATTTGTTAACTTCATCTTATGATATAAGCGAGATCGATCATCGTCAGTCAATTCCATCGTTGAGTCAATTCCCGCCAATGGGATTAATTGGCTCCTCCGAAACTAGTTTAGCCGGAAGGATCGCCAAGTGCGAAGAAACCGGGATTTGCTTTATAACCTGTCAGTTTTATGACACTAGCGTGATTTAAAGTCACCGACATAAAGGAGCATTCTTGGGACAAATCGGAAAAATCATTTGATTACTTTTCGGGACAGGTGCGCGTGTCGGGGAAAGACGTGACTCCGAACTTCTGCTTTTGTTTCCTTTTTCTCTCTTTGTGGTCTCACGGTCGCTCGTAAGTGGTATTCTCGTCATGAGAAGTATATGTACTCGCCGAGCTACGCTGATTGTAGAGATGCGACGTACGGCCGTTTCAGTATTCATTTGGCGAAATTATTCGTCGTTCCCTTCCACCGCGCCGGATCTTATTTACAAGGAAGAAGAGGTATCGGTTCGGAAATCGCGTCGTCCTGGGAAAAACCGATGAAGCGACGCACTATGCGCGCGAAGCATGAGAAGTGATTAATTCCTATCGACCGCACGTGCACACGCGTGAACGAACGATCGATACCGGGACACGATGGAACGATCGATCGTGTATTCTGCACGCGTGTTCCTGACGGCGTCGATGCCCGAAATAAATCGTCCTTAGATTTTTGTACGCGCAAACAAAGTCCTTGAATAAAATCCACGACGACTCAAGAGATATATAAAATCGACAAAAAATCCAAATGACTTTATTTTGATTTTTAACGTCAATAATGATCATTTTAACTTTTATGATGTTAAAATAAAATCATTTTGATTTTCTCTTGACTTGGTGTCCCTTAGGGATTGACTTGATTTCGATTACATTTGAATGGAATGCATTGAAATTAAAGCAAACTCAGCTTTTAAGTTTCAGGACATGTGGATTACAGCTTTGTCTGTCTTTAATGTGAATGTGTAATTTCCAGGTGACATTAATTAAAAAATAACATAAAATTTATGTAATAATTTCGTACTCAACAATATATATGTGCAACAATATATATGTCCATCAAGAAACACATTGCAATACTGTAATCATTTCATCTTTGTTTAACATTGACAAATATCAAAGATGTAATGATTCACTGTATTATATACATATATTGTATCTGTGTCTCTCGCTGGAAAGCACTCATAAATGTAATAGAATACATGATATTATACATAACAGTTATATTGAGTACAAAATTATAACACTGATGTTATCATTTTATTTTCTAGAAACCCAACTAATATATATTTTTTAAATTGAAAGAAACATATATATGTTGAATTTAGCGAAAGCAAGAAAGAGAGTTCTAAGTGTAGTTAATAATAGTGCACACAGAAATAAAAAAAACAGTAAACCTTATGTTACTTTTTGTTGGTATCTACTTGATATCGTCTTTTGTTTTTTAATCATGGCTTTTCAAAAGTTCGATGACGATCTTATATAAAAGTGAATAAGTAACATTAAAGCTTCCTGCACTTCACCTGTCGCGCGCACGCCCGACAATATACACCTGCTACGTAATTGTGCTTCTTCTCGGCACCATCTGCTTCTTCAAGGTTTCGATAATCGATTGGCAGATGCGGATTAAGGTGAATTAAAATGCGGTAATCGAGAGCCATATGCATGATTATGATATTTATTTATTTTCAACTTCGTTAATTTCACACTTGTGAAGTTTTGATAGATTTAAAAAAATTGGAAATTTTTCAGAAAAACAATACCCAGTGTCGATTCCATTGTCATTTCTGACTAGGATAGGAGTCCAGTAAATGAGAATGGATTGAAATTTTTTTTTCTAACCCAATGCGTATTTTAAATAGCGAATACTTTTTTTTGGATTCAATTGGATTCAATTGGATGTAATTGGATTGAAAAACTGCATTTCCTATTCAAAATTTTGAATTGAACAGTATTTCAGTTTGTGTGCACAGAAAAAGCTAATATTATTTTTAGATTGAAAAGCATAGAGATATGCTTCATGCAATTCCTATAAATGAATAAAAATGCATTCAAAATTGAAAAGCATTCATTTTAACATTCGTGAATCAATATTTCTGAAAATCTGAATCCATTTCAATTCATTTCAATCCATTCTCGTGCTGGGAGTATCATTATTTGTAAGATTAATTATACAGATGGAAAAATATCCAAGATATTTTTGTTAATGTAATTTTATTTAAAGCTGTGTATAAATAAGCGCATTCTAATAATAGTTCTGATATGTTATTCAAGTCTTGTGCATTGCATCGCGTGAGTAACGTATACGTGTCAGCATGCACAATGCATGTGTTGTTAAAACATTGGGGAATTCCATCTATTTTTGGCAATGTAGAAAATTCTTGAAAAGTTGAGAGATATTCTTAGAAAAAAGTTTTTTGATAATGTGGAAATTTTTAATGTTTTAATTTGAAAAATATTCGATCTTGGAATAGATAAATGCAATTATCTCTTTGCTGAATATATTTCTTGCTAATTATATATAATTTGTTAGTAATTGACGTAACAACATCCTATATAATAATATTTTTGTGATTTTTTATTTTTATTAGTTTGTTGTCTATAATCGTTAAATTTCACAAACTAGATTTCACAAACTATCGGTAATCATGAATTTTATATATATATAGATATATAAAAAAAAATATATAT